AAGCTTGTTCTAAGTAGGTGCTTTAGACCACTGAGCCATCTCACCAGCCCCATGTACTTCTTTTGAGAAGTGTCTGTTCATTTCCATTATCCTTGTTTTGATTGAGTCTTTTCTTTTAGGAAGTCATTTGTTTGTTTGTTTGTTTTAGTTCTTTGTGTTGTAGCTATTAGTCTCCTGAGGGATAGCTGAAATCCCGTTCCACATGTTGTATCTTCACTCTGCTGCTTGCTTCCTTTGCTGTACAGCTTTTTAATTGGCTATGATCTCATTTGTTGATTGTTAGTGTTATTTCTTATGCAGTTGAGATTATTTTAGAAAGTCCTTGCCTGGTCATGTCTTTTTTTTTTTTGATGGGGAGTTTACTGGGACTTGAACTCAGAACCTCACGTTTGCCAGGCACTCACTGCCCCACTGAGCTAAATCCCCAACCCCTACGCATATGACGTTAAGAGTTTTACCAAATTTGTCTTCAATATTTTTGTCTTTGTATGTAATATAAGTCTTAGATCTATTTGAGTTTGATTTTAGTGCAGGCTGAAAGATAGCGGATCTAGACACAGTCTTCTGCATGAGGATAACCAGTTTTCCCAGCTGCACTCGTTAAAGATGCTGTCTTTTCTCCAGCATAAATTTTGGGTCCCTTTGTTGAAGTCCAGGTCCATGCAGGTGTGGGGAATATTTTTTGGGTTTTTTGTTTTGTTTTGTTTTGTTTTGTTTTAATACCGGCAATTGAACTCAGGAACCTGTGCTTGCCAGGCAGGTGTTTATTCTACTGAGCTATCTCCCCAGCCCATGGGATTGGTTTCTGAGTCCTGAATTCTGTTCCTTTTTACTATGTTTATCCTTATTCTGTTGTTTTTGTTGTTGTTGTTGTTGTTGTTGTTGACAGGGTCTTATTATGCAGCTCAGACTCGCAGTGATCCTCCTGCCTCAGCCTCTCCAGTGCTGGGATTACAGCTGAGCTAATGGGAAGGCCCCAGTGCTGGGATTATAGGCATGCACCACCACACCTGGTTTTGGGGCTGCCATATGGAATTTTATGCTGTTTTTAATCACTATCCCTTTGTATCTTAACTTGATATCTGGAATAGTGGTGCCTGCTGTAGTTGCCTAGAATTGCACTTGCTATTGTAGGTCTCTTCACATTCCATAAAAATTTAAGGTTTTTTTTTTTTTTGTTGTTGTTGTTTTTCTGAGTTCTGTGAAGCATGCTGTTGGTGTTTTGCTTGGGGTCACTATTGGTATTGTGACCATTTTGACAGTATTGGCTCTGCCTAGCTCTGGCTAAATTTTCAAGTACTGTGTTGAGCGAAGTGCTAAAAGTGGACATCCTTGTCTTGTTGTTGATTTCAGAGTTCAGGGGATGTCTTTCTATTTTCTTTTCTTTTATTTTATCTTCAGTACCAGGGATCAAACTGGGGACCTTGTGCTTGCCAGGCAGGCGCTTATGCCACTGAGCTATCTTCCCTGGCCCTGTATGGAGGTTTCTCATTTCCTTGGTTAGGTTAATTCCTAAGTAACTTCTTGAAGCTATTGTGAGGGGGATTGTTTTCCTGATTTCTTTCTCTGTGGGTTGATTGTTCAGTGGTGTACAAGAATGCTACTGATTTCCATTTATTTAAATTTGTAGCCTGCTCCTTTGGTGAACTTGCTTATTAAATAAGCTCTAGGCACCAGGCCATCTGCAAATAAAGATAGTTTGGCTTTGCTTCCCGCGTATTCCTTTTATTTCTTTGCTTGCCTGATCGCTCTGGCTAGACTTTCAAGTGCTGTGTCAAACAGGTATGGTAAAAGTAGACATCCTTGTCTCATTCTTGATTTCAGAGGAAATACTTTTAGTCTTGCCCCAATGCCTGTCTGGACCCCGAGTCTCCATTACAGCGCCTTCAGCTGTCTCCACTCCAACCTGTTATTCATTACTCTTCTTCTCTTCTCTCACCGCAGTCACTAGCCAAACCTGCCTTTTTCTGGCAAAATTCAGAGAGGAGGAACTTCAGACTGCTAGACATGAGGAAGCTGAGTCGGGATGGAGCCGGGTCCCCTCCGAAAACCAGCCCGCCCTCCACACCCAGCAGCCCTGACGACATCACCTTTAACCTCGGAGACCTGCAGAATGGGAGGAGGAAGAGAAAGATCCCCAAGGTAACCCTTGCAGTGAACTTCCAGTTCTCACAGGCTCCCTTTGTCTGCAGAGGAGCCTGCTTGGGACCCTCTCTGTAGTCCTCTGCTCCTCATGTCCCCTGAAGCCAGGTGGACCCAAGAAGCCAGCAGGCTAATGATCATTATTTCAGTCCTGTGCCCTTCTCCTAGCGAGGCCTCTCCCTGCCTCAACATCTCTTCTGATACCAGGAGACAGTCTTTTCTTTCCTTGAGATAGAGTCTCAATGTGCAGTTCAGGGGCTGGTGAGATGGCTCAGTGGTCTAAAGCACCTACTTAGAACAAGCTTAGCAAAGCACAGGGACCGCGGTTCAATCCCCCAGCACCACATGCCAGCCAGGGCTGCCCCCTGGTGGGCTGAGCTGGCCACACACACACACACACACACACACATAAAAATTTTAAAAAATTAAAAAAAAAAAAAAAAGTGCAGTTCAGGCTTACCTTGAACTCATTTTGTAGCCCAGGCTGGCCTCTAACTCTCAGCAGTCCTCCTGCCTCAGCCTCCTAAGTGCTGGGATTACAGGTGTATGCCTCTGCGCCCAGCTTCAGGTAGTGCTCCCAGGGTTGTCTCCTTCTTACCTTGAGAAAGCAGCCCCACATTCATCCTGGCCTAACTTGTGGGGCCAGCGCTAGGTGTGCTGGGAGGCAGCCATAGTCAGAGGACTTCTGGTGCTCTGCTGTCCCAAGGATGCAGAGCCCATAGCCTGGCCACATGTCTGAGGATACCACTTCCCTGCTTTCCTCAGTGTCTGCCCCTCGAAGCTGTCTCCTCACTGACCCTTTGGTCATGTGCGGGGGACTCTCCTTTCCCACTCCAGGTCTGCAAACGGCCGGGGTAAAGCTGACAGGAGACAGGGTCACAGAAGGAGCACACGCTCTACTTGTGTCATTGTGGAGAAGCGCTAGGCTCAAAGAGGTGCTCAGGCCTGCCGAGCACAGATGTCCTGAGCTGCGAAGGCACGGTGGTTACAGAAAGGGTGCTGGACAACCAGGACGGCTTCACCTGGGTTGGCACGGAGTTCCCTCAGTTTCATCGCTCTATTTTCGGGGATAAGAAAGTGCCCCACACATGTAGTGACACACACCTGTAATCCCAGCACTTGGGAAGCTGAGGCAGGGGAATTACCCAGAGTTTGATGCCAACCCGGGCTTCAGGAGCCTAGTGACACACAGAACCATGTAAAGCATTGTGCCAAGGAGCTCCAGGGTGCAGGAATGGGATGGTATTTATCAGGCGTGTCACTTCTCAGAGTGGCCTGTCCACCTGAAAGAAAGTTGAGGATAGCTATAAGCAGCTTGCTCCTGGCAGAGTGTGACCAGTCAGTTTCTTTTCTTTCTTTCTTTTTTCTTTATTTACAGAACTGGGGATTGAACTCAGGCCCTTGCATTTGCCAGGCAAGCGCTTATTCTACTGAGCTACCTCACTTTGTTTTGTTTTGATCAATCACTTTTGAGAGGCCGGGGAGATGGCTTAGTGGAATAAGCGCTTCCCTGGCAAGCACAAGGGCCTGAATTCAATCCCCGGTTCCGGAAAAAAAAAAAAAATCAGTTTCGAGCCAGGACCTCATGGTGCAGCCCTACCCTAGCACCTTGTTAAAGCGAGCTCAGAGCACCTTGGCCGGGCTGCATGGGGAAGGGCAGGGCAGGGTGGAGGTGAGGTTGAAGATGCAGCCCTGGCGCTTTGTGGGAAACAGAGGAAATGTCCACTTTTCTGTTGCCAGTAGGCTGAGAGGGCTGGGTGGATTCTGTCTGGCCCAGCCCACAGCACGGTGCAGCCTGCGTTTTTGTTTAGTTTTCTGTGACCTTGGGAGTAGAAGCCAGGGCCACACGCACTCTACCCATGCTCCATACCCCTGCGCTGTGCCACAGACCACAGGTTGCGTGTTCACTCCCTGTGAATTGCTGTAGTCCCAGCATTGAGCATTGAGCAGGCTGAGGAAGGAGGACTGCAAATCCAAGCACAATCTGGGCAGCTGAGTGACTTAGCAAGACCCAGTTTCAAAATAAAAAAGGGGCTGGAGGTAGTAGCGCACTCCTAGCATTTGGGAGCTGAGGCATGAAGATTGCTGTGAGTTCAAAGCCAGCCTGCACCACATAGTGAGGCCTTGTCTCAAAAAATAAAACAACAACAACAAAAAAAAAAATAATAAGCATTAAAATGTTTCTAGAACATGGAAAATCCATCTTTGGGAGGGGGCAGTGCTAGGGACCAAACCTCAAGCTTCGAGCATGAGGAGTGACATCCCCAGCCACCATCCTATATTTTTTCTCACTGATTTAAGCAGATAAAAAACTTTAAGCTGGACGTAGCTGCATATCCCTATAGTCCCAGCTACCTGGGAGGCTGGGGCAGGAGTATTGCTTAGGTCTTAAATTTCAAGACCAGGCTGGGAACACAGTAAGATCCTATCTCTAAAAACAAGCTAGGGCTGGTGAGATGGCTCAGTGGTCTAAAGCACCTACTTGGAACAAGCTTGGCAAAACACAGGGACCGCGGTTCGATCCCCCAGCACCACAGGCCAGCCAGCCCCTCCCCCTGGTGGGCTGAGCTGGCCACACACACACACACACACACACACACAAATAAATAAATGTTAAAAAAATAAATAAAAGCAAGCTATATGGGGCTGGTGAGATGGCTCAGTGGTCTAAAGCACAGGGACCACGGTTCAATCCCCCAGCACCACATGCCAGCCAGCCCCGCCCCCTGGTGGGCTGAGCTGGCCACACACACACACATACACACACATAAATAAAAAAAATAAAAATAAAAAAAACAAGCTATACAGTATTTGGCATATAGCTGTACAGCTCTCTGTGCATGAAATCACAGGAATGATTCTGTGTGTCACTTCCACTGTGGTACTCCTTTCTGAACCACACGTCCCGGGAATGTGGACTCTGTTGATTCCAGGTCCCCATCAGAGCAAGATACAGCAGTCTGTGTGCCTCAGCTCCTCGGGAGAGGGACAGTAAGCCCCCCCGCCCCCGAGATGTCACAGTGTAGCTGGTCTGCAGCCAAAGTAGCACCTGTCTTTGCTGCAGGGCTGCATCCATGTCAGCCACCAGCACTGCCACAGCAGCTTGGCTGGCTAGGGGGACAGTGTGGCAGGACACACAGCCCTGGCAGGGTAACCGTGGTAGCCATCTGGGCGAGGTGACTTTCTCCAAGGCTGAAATGGAATATGTCACATAACGGAACATCCCAGTTGTTGGTGTGGTAAGACAGGGTATTGCTGTGTAGCCCAAGCTGGCCTTGGCTTTACAAGGTTCTCCCACCTCAGCCTGCTGAGGGCAGGGCTTGCAAGCGTGTACTACTGGTGCATTTCAGCACGACAGGGATGCCGCTCTGGGAGCACACAGAAGATCTGTGAAGCTGGGTGTAAGCTGTCCCTGCAGGCACAACCGGTGCTCTAGGACCCACACACTCCATGTGGCCAGGACAGAGCCTGGGAATCACTCTGACTCTGTCCCTGTCCCCCTCAGAGCCATTTATACATTCTTGGAATGGTTTCCACTATCAGGGCCCAGTCTTGGAACTATGTTTTGCTGTCTCTTCCTTTTCTTGTTTTGAAAGCAAAAGCTTCTTCCCAAGCCACAGTGACGTCACAGCGTCAGAGGGAGGGACAGCTGCCGTCACACCGGGGGCATGTGTCTCAGCTGCTGCATTGGCCTTTGCGGGGCAGGGGACAGCATCCTGCAGTGTTCGTGGCTATGTCATTCCCATGTGTGTGGCAGAAAGGGTTGGATGATGAGAAGAGAGGGAGGCGACGCCGAGTGCGTCCCCTCTGTCACCCCAGGGACACTGGCTGGCACCCTGGAGGGTCATGCACACTGGCTCTTCCGCCTGTGTCTGGCAGCTGGTGTTGCGCATCAACGCCATCTATGAGGCCCGGAGAGGGAAGAAGCGAGTGAAGAGGCTGTCGCAGTCCACGGAGAGCGGCTCAGGGAAAGGTAGGGCCCCAAACACTTCCTGGAGGCCACCTCTGGCTGGGTCCCCACAGTGGGGCCTGACATGGCACTGCTGTCCCCGGAACAGTCCAGGAACCAGGACCTGAGCTCAGGTGGCACATCCTATGGGTCCTTCCGCCTTGGCCTGGATGGGCAGCCACCCCCTTGGCCCCACACAAAGCGACAGGATCTGATCCAGGAGCTACCATAGCTAGAGCCAGAGTTTGGATATCCATTGTGCTAGACAAGGCCAGAGTTCCATTGTTGCTTTGAACAGATGGCCAAGATTCCCCTGACTAGAAATTTTGGATCTCTTTTCTTGCATTAGAAGAACTCACAAAAAAAAAAAA